GAGAAGGACCTCACTGAAGTGAAAGCCACGGCAGAAGATGCAGTGGATCGGAACAAGTGGCGACGTCTAACAAGAACAGCGGACCCTGCGACGGCGCGGGACTAACGCTAGGGAGAAGAAGAAGACTTCCGCATAATTTTTGTAGGTTTTTGGCCACTTCCTATACCGTCTATTGCTGTCATGACTGGTGATATAAAGCATCAGAACACTTCACCACCTTGAACATCCTTTCCCGTCCCTTTAAAATCCAAATTCGAATGGATGGGCAAGAGAACTCTCGCGGAGCGGCGTCTTCCTACTCCTGCCAGCGCGGCGAATTACCCTTGTCATACACCCGTGATACCAGTGTGCCGTCTTCCGTCTCACCCCGCGCTGCCGCACCGCCAGCCATAGTCAAAAGCCTAGCCATAGCTACACGACTAGCCAGAGCTAGACTGCAATTTGCCTGCGCCCTCTTCCGCATGCTTATTCTCTACTGCTGCACTACCCTGCAGTCCAGTACCCGTACACTTTTTAGTGAAGGAGGAGGCACGCCTCTGCAGCCATAAACCCGTTCGCCCCGTACATGGGAAAGACCGTCCCCTGAGGTGAGTGTTTGTTTTTGGGCGGCAAATAGAACTATTCTCGATGCCAGGAGAAGTAAGCACCAAGTGATTCTGGGCGATTTCAACGCAACTCCTGGTTTACGCCGTAATGAAGAGCGATACATTGGTAACAATTCCTCAGGAGCTCGAAATCACCGTGGACAAATGTTGGCCGACTTTTGTGAGGAAAGAAAGCTATTTCTTGCTAACTCGTTCTTCAAAAAGAGACTTGACGATCGGTGGACATGGCGAAATGATGCCTTGGGACTGAAGAAAGAGATTGATTATGTATTGTTGAGAAGTATGAAGGGCGTTGTCGATGTAGGAGTGCTCACTAGTGTTAACACGGGGAGTGATCACCGCATGTTAAGATGTAAAATACGTCTGAATCCGATCTCACAACTTCGTATACTTTCACTGACTGCGGACACGTGATACAGGAAGAAGGGTAATCATCTGATGGGAGGCGTCGCTAAGTGAGGGGATAGAGGTGGTGTCTTTCGAAGTTGTCAAAGAAGATCTTCTTGGGTGTAAGAATGCGTTGCATGCGCCCATGATCGAGAGTCGTCCGTGAACTATGGCATGCTTGACGAATATTTGGAATATGACTGGGTTGCTCGCCAGGTAAGTCCATCTCCTTGGACAGATTTTGGGTACGACTCTGCCGAACTCTAATAGACATACTACCACGATTCCCCCCCCCGGACCAATTATTACCGATGACGATGTAGCTCTCGTTCGTCGTCGGTGGAGTTGAGGATCCGGGTCGGCTTGACGTGATAGACGGTGATGGTGCGGAAGTAATATTTAGGTTGTCGGAGAAGTTCGCGACCAGCAGTTTCGTATAGCCACCTATTTATTTATTTCGTACACTCTCACAGCTGCCACAGTCTATCCACTGCATTAAAGAACTCCATTTCGCCTCCTGTGAAAGCTAATGCTCCAGTAGCCCACACCCAGGTAACGAGAAATTTCTATGCGCGCGTGGTCTGACGCGATATAATTGCGTCGTGATTGCACCATTTCTTTTGCATGAACCCCCTTTTTTCAAGATTTTTTTCAAGCACTTAGTATATTGAGGCCAATCGCAATCGAAACAGCTAACAAATCTAAACCAAGTGGGGCCAATAGTGCTAGAGAAAGCACTGTGCGGCAATGGTTCAACAAATTTCGTTCTGGAGATTTCAGCCTTGAAGATGAACCTCATAGCGGTCGACCTAAAGCAATATCTGACGAGGATTTTAGGGGGATTTTGGAGGCTGACCCATCCCAAACAGTTCGAGAGATAGCAGAAGAGCTAGGCCTTGGCAAATCCACTGTTGCAGATGGTCTGGAACGCATTGGGAAGGTGAAAAAACTCGACAATTGGGTGCCCCACAATCGGAGTGACCGGCAGGAAATGCGCGCACGTCTCGAAGTTCCTTCTGCATTGCCTTTTCGCACAGAAAACGAACCCCTGTCTTTTGGGCCGAATTGTCACCTGTGATGAAAAATGGGTCATGTATGATAACAGGAGACGTTCCGGACAGTGGTTGGATTTCGACGAACCACCGAGGTAATTTTCAAAGCCGAACCCTCACGAAAAAAAGATTCTGGTCACGGCTTGGTGGTCATCGGCTGGTGTGATCCACTATAACTTTTATCACCAGGCCAAACCATCACAGCAGAACCCTACTGTGAAGAAATCGACGAATTGTACCGAAAATTTTGTCAGATGCAGCCAACACTTATCAAAAGAAAGGGTCCGATTCCTTTGCATGACAACGCCCGCCCACACGTTTTCACAAATCACTATCCATAAATTGAACGAATTGGGGGTTGAAGTTCTACCTCAACCGCCATATTCTTCAGACCTTTCGCCAACCGACTATCACCTTTTCTAACATTTTCAGAACTCCCTTGCTGGAAAATACTTCATCAATCAGGACCAGGCAAAAAAGCCTTAGTGGATTTCGTGAATTTTCGACCACCCAGTTTTTTACTTTGATGGGATTTCTCGACTGCTGTCACATTGGCAAAAGTGTGCTGATTCGAAATCGGTGCCTATGGTCCGATTAATCGAGAGTATTAAAAAAGTGGACAATCGTTTAAAGCTGAAACACCCCAAAACGCTGATCGAACTTTCCGGACAACCTACACATAACTTGTGGACATCTGAGAGTAGCTTTGTTATGACGCGAGTAAAATCCTTACATTCTATAAAGCAGAAACTTCGTGTGTCGGTTTGTCGGTATGTATGTATGTCGGTTTGTATGTCTGTCCGTCCGCAAAATGCTTTACGGGATTAAACACGTTAGTGTTTAACATGTTAACATCGTTACACAAAACCTTAAGCCAAATCTACGTGTACCGCGGGTAGTGGGACAAGAGGGAGTCGTGATTGCCGCCGCGCTGGGCGTCCCCGCGTGCGACGTTCCCCGCCCGCAAAGCGACGATGGTTTCAGCAGATAGATTGGCGACAAACAGGCAGATTAAGGACCGAAAACAGTAGATGGAGTGTCTACGGGGTACATGAAGTCTGGTGCTTCATTGACAGGTCTAAAACGATTATGAAAAACGGCTGCTGCGCCCATCGCCGCGGCCTGGCGTGCGGCAAATTACGATCCCTTTACCGTCTCTCTATGTTACCGTAACGAACTAAGAAGTTGTTTTGGTTGTGATAACACTCTCCACTATATAAGAAAACCACTACACTCCGAGCCATTGCACGGGTTGCTCGCGTGGCAGTTGGACGTAAGCGCGTGCAAGGGGCAAGGTGGGGGGGGGGGGGGGGGGGGGGGGGCGGGGGCGGGGGTGCGGGTGGCGTGGACGTACGGAATGGGGTGAGGTGAGGAAGCTGGGAGTTAGTATCGAGTGACCCCCCCCTCTCCATCCCCGCACTTCCTTGCGCGTACTCAGTCGGATCTGAGCCCATGCAGGGGAAGGAGGCATATGGATTGAATCGGGCAAACTGGGTACAGTAAGGGGATGCGTAGCGTACGCTTGGATAGGAGTAGGAGGCAAAGACAAAGGAAAGAACCCCTAGCAAAACTGCAAGCTAATCCATGTTACAGCAACGAACTAGGAAGCTGTTTGGATTGTGAATAGCTCCCCTATCTAAGCCAACCACTGTGATAGACTCTGTGCTATTGCAGGAGCTGCTCGCTTGGGAGCTGGACGTGAGCACGAGCAAGGCGGTGGTAAGAACAGTGGCGGCGTAGTGTCCCTATGTTGCACCAGCTGCTCACGTGGCGGCTGCATCCACGTGTGGGGAGTGGGCGCCAGTTAAAATAGGGTCACTGGGATATGATGTGGTGAGGCAGATGAGCAACGGCGATTTCGCGATTAGGAGCACATAGCGCCTGCGGCGGTAAGGCGTCTACGGTTGCGATAAGATGGGAAGAAAATGGATCGACCGCAATCGGAACTGAACCGATTAATGTTGCATTATCAAATTGTGGTAGCGTTTTGATAGTCATAACACCCTCCACAACATAACACAACCATTTAGTGCACTCAGAACCATTGCACGGGCTATTCGCGTAGCAGCTGAGCGTGACCTGTAGGGTGGCTGAGCGGGGAATAGCTGAGGTTAGTTTGGGGATAGGTGAGGTGAAGGGGTACCATATTGGCGCGACCGACGCTCGCCTGAACAGGAGCACGCAGCGACTGCGGAGACCGAAGCATCCTTTGCTGTCATAAGATGGGGAGGAGGGTAATCGATTATCCATGACCAGATTTTGAACTTTTCATTATGAAAGTGCCCTGCGATCATATGGCGCGTTTCTACATTCATTTGATTAGAAGACAGCGTTAGTCACGACTCTAAAGCAGTTGCATGAGCCCGGCGAAGCCGGGCTTCCAAGAAGGAGGAGAGCTCGGCGTTAGCCGGGCGATCCGACTGGTGGTATTACATAATCTTTGATTGTATCGCCAGTCATCATATTTTCATGTAGTAAACATTGAGCGGTTGAACACAATAAGTCGCTGTCGATAAGGGGGAATCCTCTTGGTCTTCTTACTGG